CTTGACAAAGCCCTGGCTGGGATGATTTAGTTGAGGATTGGCCCTGCTTTGAGCAGGGGGTTGGACTAGATGACCTCCTGAGGTCCCTTCCAACCCTGATATTCTATGATTCTATGTTTGTCTCTGCAATGCTAAGAGGAGTAAACAAAGCAGTAAAAACAAGTAGTGGTAGAAAAGTGTCATTTTCACAGTCTGTCTTTCAGAGTTGAACCACACTTTAAACTTACTCTGATTTTGTTTATACTTCTATGAAGACAAATACATATTACAAGTACTTTAAGTTAAGCAAAGTAGACAGGCATGATTTATGGTATACAGTATATACATTCTAAATTATTGGTGTACTTCAAGAGTTCTTTAAGACAGAAACTACCCTATAAGATTTTCTAGGATGCAGTTTGTATGTTATCTTACTGCAGAAGAATATTTAGGCAAACCTCTTGTTATATTTCTAATTAGAAATATCTTTAATTCTAAAAAAACCTCTTTTTAATCATTAAAATTTTGTATAAGTAGTGCATGCTGTGTGTGAGAAGTTCTGGACTAACAACAATGAACTGGAGACTAAAATGGTGTGTGTCTACAGAACAGGCACAAAAGATGAGGCAGTGGCAATGCAAATTTCCTCATACTGTTTTTATCCAGGCTCTCCAACCCTGTCTTGGAAAGCTCACCCCAGAGGTGAGAATTGTTCCACTAAAGTAACTACTGCCCTCTGCTGAGATTTCCAGTCTTGATGGTACCTTCTGTAACCTGGTTATACCACCTAAACAGAACTGGATCCAAACTACCTCGTCACACAAGGCACCAGAGCTGAAACTAAACTGGTAACCTAGAAGTGAAAAGCTCCAGTCCCCTGAGCTTCTTCTTCTGATGCTAATACAAATAAGCAGGTGCGAATCTTACTAATCTATGTATAGTTTTTAAAAACTGTAGAGATTAATGTTTTGTTTATTAATAAAATGCTTCTGAATATTTATACCAGTTTCCAGTCTTTAATACCAATAACAGGCTTTCATCTGGTACTTCAATATATTCCGACCATAAAAATGTCACTCAATAACAGCCAACTCAGTGGGACCTCTATAGTCGTACAATATGCTATTCATAAATTGTCAGACATACTCATCTTGAAAGTGTTTAGAATCATGCAATGAACCAACATCAAAGTGGCAATTTTAAAAGACATTTGAAAAGTTACCCTACAAATCAGTGGTATGTGTCAAATATAGCTATATTAAAGTTGTAGATGTTCTTCTGGCTATGCAAGATGTATTTACCATTCAAGTTGCATGTCACCAACACCAATTCATCATCAATAACAGTTATGCTATACAATTTGTGTTAAGCGTCATCATAAATGAATAATACTCACGGAAGAGTTGATATTTAAAATTTAACCCCGTTGAGAAAAAATGAATATTGATGTACACCACTTGAGACAGAGCAGACCTATATGCATCTTAATAGAAGCTTTGCAGTCTGCATTCTTTCATTGAAAAGCAAGTATCTGTATACCCTGTGCAGGATGGATCTGGTACAGAACTGTGATCCTATGTTACTTAGGCAGAAGCTGAAACAATGTGACAGTAATCATATAACAGGAATATTCAGTACTTATCTGTCACTTTACACTAGAACTTACTAACCCTGCAAGTTACATGACTTTAATTTAAAGTAAACATTTTATAATCCGTCAGCAGTAACTACAACATTTCCACAACCAGAATTCCTATATGTAATGCAATATTTTGGGACAGAGTGACATAAATGGCTAAATACCTGCAAAGAGCCGGTAGGTTCTTTGGCCTTTAAAAATCTTGCTTTTCACACCTGGAGATAGTAACTCTGAAAAAGCAAAAGCAATATTTTTAACAAGCTAAAAACTTGTGTGTGAACAGATGTCAGGTGAACATTTATTTCCAAGTAAGAATCAAATAGTTTTTCCATCGAAAGCTTCCTACATCAAAGAAATGGCTGAAACCTCAGCACGCTGACACTGTAGACACTGGAGTCTTTTCTGTGGTGGGAGGACAAACTAGTTTCTTACTGCCAGAGCACCGGCCTTTGCATATGGGGTTTCAAGCAAGAGTACCATTCAAAGCTACCCCAGGGAAAAAGAGAAGAGGGGGAAAAGGGCCAAGACACTAGTTATCTCCCCGCCATGCCTCTTGTTGGAGGATGAGAGGGCTAGCCTGTAAACTGCAGAGACTGTAAAGAATATAGCAGTTGCCCGTCTTGTTGATCTAAGCAGCCTGTAACGCACGTTTTACAGATTTCAACCCCCCCCACACACACCCGAGTATGTATTAAAAACAAAAACCCCAAGATTAAATCATACTATCTGATAAAGTAAATACATCATTTATAATGTTATAATGTATCCCTACATAATTAGCCTTGCAACTTCCAGGTAGCTTGGAACATATTGCAGACAGCAAAAAAATATTGATCAATCTGAACTACTGGTTGACTGAACAGCGAATGTCAGAATAAAAAGTTTCAATGCAGCAAGGTACATATATTATTCTGGTGTTTATATATACACACAACACATTTTGTAAAATGAATAGATCTTAACATTTAAAAATTGAAGAAACTTTATAATGCATTAACACTTGAAATCTGACCTACCTATTTGATTGCTTTGATGTTTTTAGTTTGATTTTAGTTTGGTCTTAAAAAAAAATTCTCATTTCTCCTCTCCAGCCCAATCAATGGTTTTTATAATGGTGCTTTTACCACCTCTTTGGATGGATTCCAAGCTGAAGTATTTTTATTCATTATTTGATTAACAGCAGCCTTGTGCAGGGTACTCCAATCAGCTGAGGGAGGGCACTGTACGAACACATAGTACAGTCATCCCTCAGCCCTGAAGAGCTTTCAGTCTCAAGCCCCAATTCTACAAGTTTCACTCAGCTGGACACTGGACCTGCATGAGCCCCCACTGAAGTCAATGGAGCCTGATAAATGTTCCAGGGTCTGTCTACATGGAGTTCTTTGAAGGATTGGGGTCTAAATTAAGACAGTGCAGGCAGCAAGTGCTAGTAAAAAAAAAAACCTAAAAAACCTGAGCACATCAGCTCGAAGCATCACTGGACTGTATTCTCCTAATTCACAGCTAGGACAGACACAAAATAAGGCACACAAGATAATACAGATTTCATTTAGATTATTAGAGTTTTCGCATGTATACAACCCAACAGAAAAAAATCAAGTCTCTCCTATACTGAGCTTGCAAAAATTCACTATTACCCTTTGGAAATCATAGAAAATTCTCTTTTCCTCAAAACAAAAAGTTTTATTTAAGAGTTTCACCTTTACTAATTTCCAGGTCAACGGGATACTCAATATTCTTGATAAGCTTCTGGCATCCACCAGTTTTCTCATATACAAATCTTTTGAGGTGTAACACAAGAACAGGAGGGAGCTCTTCTAGGGTCACCCTTCGACTGATCTCCACCTAATACAGAGAACACAAAAATGCATTAAAATTATATCTTAATTTTAGGATCAGTATATTTTGAAGTTAACCCCTTTGAAAACAAAAAGGAAGGGAACATGATTAGTGTGTAGAACAAAAATTTTATCTAAATTACGCCACTTGAAAGTGTCTGTATTGTGTTAGTTTTATGACAAATATCCCGTTGTTTGTGCACTTTAAGCCTCTAAAGCGCATTGGATTTTCCCACTGAAGTGTTATCTTCAAGGAAAAAGTATTACAATTTAATATAATATCCTGTGGGGTTCTTTCCATGGGAGTTCTTTAATCTAGGGACTTACTATATATTTATGAAACAGGAAAAAAATAGCTGGTGGAAATGATGGAGCTCAACATTAAGATTTAGAAATACACTGTTCCATGAATTAGTTTTGTTCTTGCAGTCTATTTGCCTGACTTTGCAGGATTACTTAACACACTGTGAAGTGGTGGAAATACTGGTACCAATGCAAGTACTCATCACACACAGATCAGTTGCATATTATGTCATAGCACTGTATGTAGATAAGCACATAAGGATCATAACTGATGGATGAAACCGGAGCCACTGAACTATTAAAAGGAGGTCAGGACTGATGACTGTAACATAAAATAGGAACAAAAAAGCCATTGAAGGTTTTTCTGTTGCCTCCTTTATGCTACAAGACTCTTACCTGCAAAGTACACAGCACTGATCAACAAGTTATGAACAGCCAGAATTTACAGATGGCAGGTTTTGAGTTCCATCATGAACACACGTTTAAGTATTATTGTATTAGGACAACGTAAATACTTGGAAGCTCTGCAACATCCTAAACCAGTGGTTCTCAACCTATTTATCATTGTGGGCCACATATATGGCCCACAATGTGTTATGTGGGCCGCATTCAATACTACCTGTATGGCCCTGAGGATGTCACATGGGCCGCAACTCTGTGCTGATTGGGCTGCAAGCGGGCTGTGGGTTGAGAACCACTGCCCTAAACACAAGGGGCTTAGAGTAATATTTCTGTCTTCACTTTTTGTCTTTAATTTAGTTTTATTAATGGACACATCTTTCTCATAACTCAAAAATGGTTTCATCTTTTTTTTTTTTTAAAGCCTTAGGCTGAGATTAAACACCAAAATTTTAACTTCAAAAGGAAAAAAAACTGGTGATTCTTAAGAGGGAGTGAAAATAGGGAATCAGAAGGGCAAGCTCTATTTACGGTGCATGGTTGTCCTCCTAAACCTGAGAAACCACAAAAAGTGTAGCTCAAAATCTTGAGAATCTGAGGCAGTTAATGATGCTCTCACATTAACAATCATATTTTAACAGAATATTGCGTAAAAATTTAAAACTAAATATAACAAAGGACAGTAACACCATCATAGCATCTTTCAACCTGACAATTACATTAGCATTCCCGCCTGCTACAGAATGAGGACTAAACCATCAGGTTTCTGGGGATTTTCAATAGAAAATCTCCAGCTGAAGAGCTCTGGGCTTTGCTTAGCTAATAATACTTTAAGGATGGGGGGGGGGGGAGTTATAAATATAAGACATGGATCCAAGACCTCTTGAGTGCTAAGCCTAACATTGACACTCTTTCTGATGTTATTTAAGCATCTCGTTTTTTTCCCCATCTGGAAAGTCTGGATGAAATACCTGCCTTCCCCACAATGATGTTTTGAGAATTAACATCTGTAAACTGCTAGGTATGCACTAAAAATTATTAACGTTCAATATTTTGACAACAACATGTAATAAAAATCTTCTATTTTTTCCTGAATATCTGTTGAAAAAGAAAGATCTAAAAGGCATTTTTGGATGCTTTTATTTCCACTCAGACACTAAAGCAGACCAAATCACTAGCACCTAAACTGAACACCCATTTCTTCTAAAACCCATAACAGAACAGTGGGTTGGCCCTAAAGAAGTTAAAACCATCTGCAACAAAAACCAAAAAGTGACTAGCAAAACAAAATCCTTGTGGTAAATTATGAGCTTGCATTGCAAATGTTCCTTCCACATCAGAAGAAATCCCTAAAATATTTTTGCACTTCTACTCCTACTAGAGGACTGGATATATAATCCAGACAAAAGCTGACTGTCTACCTATAACTTTTCAAGGAAAATAATTTTCCATTCATTCTCCAGTCACAATTATATTCTGAATGTTTATCTAAACTGTGAGGTAGGTAAAATATATGGAAACAATGCCTTCTGTAGAAGAATGACCCTATGTTCAAAGGCCCTCTTTGCTTCTTTGTCTGTTTAAGGTAATTAGGAACACACTGCACATATTTTAATCTGAGAACCTTCTGTTGACCATGCACAGATGCGACTATGTAGATACTAATTCTTTACTCACACACAGTAAATAGACCATAAGATCAGCCAGCTGGAGAAAAGGATGAGAATAGTGTGAGGAAACTCAAAGCAAAATATAATATATCCCATCATTCAAGAGCAGAAATTGCCAAACTGCAATGCACAGAGAGCACATAGTGCTTTCCCAATATAGCTTTTGCATGAGAATAATTGTTGTAGTTTTCACATGGATATTATGCTATTGTAGTTAAATGAGGCTCAGAGTACAAAAAAAGTTTGGTAACTTTTCTTATGGATGGTCGCCAGGCTGTTCCTTCTAACCCAAGAAGAGAAAGCAACAGGTCAGCGTTCTGAGTCATGAGACTGTTATAAATATCTACTTCAAAAGCCAGGAAATACTCTCAACCAAGCAACATTTTGAAGCACGTCTGTCTTACTAGAAGTGTCTGGCAACACCCAGGTCACCTGAGCTTCTGTGCTTTAAAATTAGTGAAAATTTGTTTTCCTTACGACAGTATATATTACCACTTCTCAAATAGAGTTAATTTAATTTAATGTATATGCCTCTCCCGGCCCGCCCCCAAAATCCCAAACCAACTATTACACCAGTTCTGCAAATAAATGAAATCATTGACAGTAAATCAGTGTAACAGAGTTAGTGTGTCTTCTTGTTTGAGTGACCTTGACTGTATGTGTTAAATATGTAGTACACTTGTACTATTCCTTGCATGATTGGTACCTCTTAACATGAGGATTAATGTTCAAGCAACTAGTGAAAAACCAACAGCTATATGAAAAGCCCTTAAAATGTAATGTTTGACTATAAAAAGGTCCAGCAGACAAGACCAGAACACACCTCCTGTTTGGTTTTTGTGGTGTAACCCTGGACAGACTCTCTTGCCACCAAGCTTTCCAATGCATCCTGGACTGTGCGTATCTTGTCAGACTGGATATCCAGTTGTAGAGTGAAAAATGGCTGCAGAGTGGCAGACTCCTTAGAACTCTGCTGGTAAACCACAGACCTACAGAAACAGGAAACAATGTTGCATATTAGATTTACAATAGAACCTCAAAGATACGAACAACAGAGTTACGTACTAACTGGTCAACCGGACACCATGTGAAACCTGAAGTAACCAATCAGGCAGCAGCAGAGACCAAAAGAAAATAAATAAATAAAAATAAAAAAGCAAATATTGTACAGTACCTAGATTGCATCTTAAAGATAGGCACCTCTGGGCTGCCTGTCCCCACCCCCACCTGCCACTTACAGCAAGATGCTGGGGCTACCAGCTCAAGGTAGCCAGAGCCAGCAGAAGCAGTGCTGGGGTCTGTGCCACTTTGACCCCCCCCTCTCCACCGGGATGGGGACGTGCTGTTTACACCCTCACCCCCACCCCCACAGGGAGTGGGACAAGCCTGCAAACTCATGCCAGCACTGAGCAGGGCGCTCGGCTCCAGCTGAAGCCTGGCTTGGAGTGTCAGGTGCTAGGTCTGGAGTCTAAACTGTGCTTTGTTCAGAGTTACGGACAACCTCCATTTCCGGGGTGTCCATAGTCTACTGTATAGTCATCCTTCAAAATTTAACAGCGGAGAAGCTACTAGTCAGGGTGTCTAAAAATTGATTTTTGGGGGAAAATAAAAAAATGATTTTTTAAATTTAAATCAAGATTTTTTAATTTGTTATTTAAATCATATGAAGTTTTCTTTTTAAAATCAATCCACCTGCTACTAGAAAGAGGACACTGAAATGCACCTATGAATCTACCCACATGTTCTTTACCTTAGACCTTAGTCCATCCCGTGCTTTGCTGCACATTGGGCTACCAAAATCAACACAAATATCAAGGTTAAGCATCAATTTCAGCAACCTGATTTCACTTTAATGCAATTTCAAGTACAATGATTTTGTTTAATATTGGTTAACCTGTATAATTGGTTAGTATATTTAAATCAGTGTATTTATGCATAGCTTATTTGGCAAGATATCATCATACACTTGGAGGAGCATATGATCACTCCATTTGTTTTCACTTTTCTTTTAAAGAACTTCAGTTGAGGTTACTGTGGTGCCAACAAAAGCCAGGGGTATCAAAATCACCTAAAGGTGACTGTGGAATCATCCAATTGAGAAAAGGGGGAGGGGGGAGGAATCTTTGACAACTAAACAAAAAAGAAACTGATTTTGAAGTAGTGTGTTTTACAATGAATTATGTTTAAATCTACTAATCTTCTGTTAGTTTGGGGTCTTCAAAATAATTAGTCACATTTTTCTTTACAAGTTTTGCAGTATATTCACCTACTTCTCTCCACAGTATAAGAGAGTAATAGCTTGATTTATCAAAAACCTCACACATTGGGGAACAGTTATGCAGAAAGTGAAATTTACACTGAAGATACAGGTACCTACAATACAAAATCAGGTCTGTCGTGTAGGTTTTTCCAACACTGTTTCCCAAGCTGTCTAATAGAAGCTTGACAATAAAATTACATTATCTTCTTCACTTGGCAAATGTCATATCTTCGCTATGTTGCTAACTACAAAATAGCCAAGATAGCTCAGCTTTGTTTACTTCTGTGGAACATGGACAGTTCTGGGAAAGGTGTTCGGAAATGACTTATTGCTGGAGAGAAGCATATGGTGCTCATGCGGAAACTGAAAATGATGTAATTAACATTTTAATTTCTCAATGATGATGCTGGATTTTTGAAACATTAAATGTTTTAGAACAGATATTAAGAACTGACAAGTACTAATGGTTATCTAGTCATTTTGTAATGTTGCTGTGAAAATTTTAACTGAGTTCAGGTTCTCTAATCATAATACTTTAAAATTTAAAATCTCTACATGGTTTCTAACAATATATTCCAGAATTGCTTTAGAATTTGTTTTTTCCAAGTCAGATTTTGCAGCCAGGTTTTGTTCACTTATTGGTTTGTCTTGAATACAAACTAGAGTCTTTTAGTCTTTGTGTGTTAAAGTAATAGAACCAGCTTCCTATTTATATTTGGAAATTTAAATCAATTTCAGCTTTTATATGAAAACTGAATATATGGTTTGATAGTTTAATTGTTTGCCAAAGACACTAACAAAAGGAGATTTTTTTATTGATTTTCAGCTTGCTTGAATCTTGGTTAAAAATATATCTAATCACGCTTTGTTTTTGAAGATGGTATTTAAAAGCACAACCAATAATGTCTTTACAGCTAAATAAGTTATTGTTTGACATGTTACAGTCCTTCAGAAAACTCTGAAATAGCAAGTCTTAAAATAAACCACAATTCAAGTCACTATGTTGAACTCTCAGAATTATCAGTTAAATATTAACATAGAAGTTTAATATTTGTACTGCAAGCTTGTATTAAAAACAGCTCCTCTGATTCAGGCACAGGCCTGAAGCACCAACAAAAGGCCAATCCATCTTTATATTGGCTATGTATTTTCCTTAGAGTGAAAGGACTCTACCATAGACATTGGCATCTTTATTTCAGGTTACTACTGCCTTCTTGGCTTATATTTAAGGACAAAACCTTCAATTCATGTGAAGCCTGATGTTTTATTAAAAAAAAAAAAAATCTCCACTGTTGAGAGTTGTGCTGTTTTTGAGACACTTTCCCATTCCCCCCAACTTGATTATTTAATGTAATAATCTACTGCAAAATATAGTAAACGAAGTACAGTACACAAACTTCAACCAGTTAAAATCAACAAACAGAAGATGAAATTAATCTATAAATAAAGATAATATTCCAAAATGTAATTTCCAGTGGTAAATGTTTTTTTTAAAACAGAATTAGAAATACAACTAAACTATGCACTCTTTTCAAAAGTGCATAAAAGTACTGCATTAGATAGTAACAATATTGCTGGACTTTAGGTTTGCATAATTTTTAATGTACAAAGCATTTTCTTTTGTAGAAACTACAGCAAAAGTTAGTCAAGGGGAAAAAATGCAGCAGTTTAAACAAAATACAGGATTATTTCAACCACAAGTTATTGGAAGGATTTGAATAGTATGATATAGAAATGTTTAAAAAAATTTCTTTTGAAAATGTGGGTTGTTCATAATTTCCTTGCTAGTGTAGTAGCACTAATAGCGTTTATTGAAACTAAGTGGGTGCAGCTAGTGTATAAAAACAGCTTTTAAATGTCTTCAAAGCAAAGTTCTTCCCATGCATAAGCACACACCTGATTTTTTCCATCACAGAGCATCTGAGAGTAAAGTCAGTGCATCTTGCAAGCAACATTTTTGCCAGGCCTCTGAATTACATGTATGCCAAATTTGCATGAAAAATATTTGAAATTTGAATGACAAATATTTGAAGTTTGAACAAGTTACAAATGTAAAAGCACTCTGTTAATGCACAAAATCAGAAGCCCAATGAAAATGTGGACCTACAGGTTGATGTTTAAGTGTTTATAACCATCTACTTTTTTCTTCACAAAATATTATTTACAGAAATGATGCCTAAGTAGGAATGCAACAAATCAATTAAACAAATGTAGACGAGAGGCTAAAATCTCTCTAAGCAAAACGGTGCCAATTCAACCATGTTTTCTTAGCTCTCTTTTCCATTTGATTTTTCTATTTCTGATGCTTTTATTTGGTGAACTACTACAAGCAATTTTGCCTTTAAATCCTCCCTATTTCTACCCTCAGCCCTAGCAGAGGAAGCTTTCCAACATCTCAAGACAGGATACTGTTTCTGCGGTCTACTGTGTGACTTAGTTTGTAGGCTGAATGAGATGGGTGGGCTGAAAGTATACAACAGATGTGGAAATGGACCTTGCGGTTCTGCTGCTCGATGCAAATTTATCCTCTTTTTCAGTAATCCCTCAAATTTATTGTCTGTGGATTTCAACAGGGGACACAGTGTTCTCCCAAATATCCATAATTTCATTTTAACTAATTTATGAAATAATCATACCGAGGTCTAAACTGCCCTGGCCATGACAAATACACACTTCCAATATATATATATATATAAGGATATTTGACAAAGGATATGTGCACATGCCATCGACAGGGAAATTTTCCAGTAAGTACAGACATCTGTCTGCCAATTCTATGGAAAACATCTTTTTATTTGCCAGCTGTCTGACTCAAATCGCTGAAGAATAATTTCAGTGTTTTGCATATGGAAGGAACCAACCAGCTTTATTCATACTTCTAGACTGCATACCTGGCAACAGAAGGAGTGCAAAACTAGCAATTAAATGTCTGCCCTCCATTTTAAAAATAATTCTTCATACTCTAACATTTGTTGTTTTGGAATATGTTTCCTTTAAGTATTTACTCTGCCTTTATAGTCTAAACTATTTATTTTTAAATAATGCTTTTTAAATTATTTTTTTCATATCCCCTTTTTGCCTTCCTGTACTCCTATCTGGGCCTCTACTCCACATCACTGCAAGCTGTTGCAAGAATTAATAATTGAATTAAAAAAAGATCTCTTTGGGTGTGAATTTTTTTTTAAATAAAAGCATAGCATAAGGTTAGGACTACGTTAGAGAGCTTACAGCTGTGCCACTGTAGCACTTCTGGTGCAGACACTAAGCCGACAGGAGAAAGCTCTCCTATTGGCTTCGTTACTCCAGCTCACATGAGCAGCAGTAACTATGTCAGCAGGAGAAACTCTCCCACAGACATAGCGCTATGCACACCAGCGCTTACGTTGTTGTAATTTACATCGCTCAGGATGGTAGTTTATTCACACCCCTGAGCAACGTAAGTTATGCTGACAAACTGTAGCACAGAAATAGCCTTAGTCTTTCTTGCTTCTGGGAAGCAGTATTGTCTAAAGAACTGACAATCAGTGTTGCCTCTAATTTTTCCCATGCATGTGTGGAATAAATTTTGTTACGTGCACCAATATGGAGGTGATGTGATACATCACCTCCATACTGGTGCACATAACACAATTCATATGGTGAGGGTGGGGCCGAGGGGTTCAGAGTGTGGGAGGGGGCTCAGGGCTGGGTTGGGGGGAGGGGCGCCTCTCCCCCCGCCCGCAGCAAGTCCTGTCTGACAGTCGTCTTTTGAGTTCTATTCCCATTTTTCTCCACTCACTGTCTTTGTGAACTACACCAGACACTCACTATATCTGTTAATCCACATATAAAAAGGGCTAGCACTTCACAAGACGGTTCTAAACCTGAACTATTTAATTGTAAAGTTCTTTAGATACTTGCATGAAAGTATATGTATTTTTTCAACTTATATTCAAAAACAATTGTTGTAGATCTCTGTTCTTCAAGCCAACCTTTGCTCTGTAAAACATATAACAAGATGCACCTATTATGTGACACAGACCACAAACTGATTTTTGGGAACTAACCTACACAATGACATGAAATCTTTTGAACTCTCTCTTCTGGAAGACTGTTTCATGATTAGGATGTTAAGCTTCCCTGGCCTTTGTGGACTAGTCACATTTCCTTTTTTAAACCACCAAATACTGGTCATGGAATAATGGTGCAGTCTCCGGTGGCTGTGTATCTTCTCAGTTGCAAAGCAATGGAAAAATTTATGGATGAAGGCAATGCAGCCCATGTCGCCACACAACTGCAAAAGAGTATCATTTATTGTATTAAAAATAGTCTAATAAAAGGTACCATACCTTATGTGACCACCAAAGATATCTGTAATAGGAGTCTGAACAAAGTCAGCCTGTCGAGTAACTGATGATTTATTGCGGGGCCCGACTTGTTCCCATTCATCCTCACTACCTTCTCCTTGTTCATCCTGATCCTCCTCTTCATTTACAGATTGCGTCTCAGGACCATTGGAAACACAGATTTCTTAAGAAGAAGAAAAGTGTGTAGATATTGATTTAAACAAATAAAATAATCCCCAACTTTTCCTTAAAAGAGAGAGAGAGAGCTGGTAAACAACAGGATTATCTTTAGTGATTAGAAATAGGTCCCCTGACGTGTCTGGAGTTGTAATGAAAGGTATAGTTTTAAAAACACACTATCAAAAGTTTTGATTCAGAACTTGTATGATGTGGTTTCAAGTTTATCCTCTTTATAGGAATAATTATCAGAAGATTAGGAGGCTTTCATATTTTACTTAAAAAAAACTTGTGAAAAGTCAAGTTTGAGACAATATTCTGCACAATTCCTTGAGCATTTTGCAACTGGGAATACTCAAATGTTTAATGGAATGCAGTTTATCTACATAACATAATCACACATGAAAAAACAAGTAAGTTCAATGTAGCTTTAGATAATTAACCTTTGCGGCTGTACTTTAGAAAGTTAAGGGCTGTTCTTGAAAATTAAAACCTTGGCTTATCAAGACACCATTGTTGCCTGGGTATTTTACAGTACACACAAGGTTTAGCAAATATTTGTATGGGTGCCAAACAAAGAAAGTTATGTACTTAATGTAGCTAGGGAATATGAAATGATAGTGCTACATCATAGAGAATTTACCCAGTTAAATAAGATTGGATACCAAACCTTAAAAAACCAAAATTCATAATGACAAGACTGGACTGCTGTAGTAGTGGTGTTTTATTTTTAAATTGGGCAACCATCAAACAAAAATAAAACAGTTGCTGTAAGATAAAGCTCCATTTTTAAATTCACTGTAAATCCTGTCAGTTCTTTCAGGGTAAGATGTGGAGTTTTCAGTTTGTATTTTTTTCACTTCAGCAACAAAGCACTAGTAAAATCAGTTAATATGTTCCATTATAAATGGGTACAAAATTATTAAAAATTCTTTGTCTAGGAAGCTTGCTGTACAGAAAACAACAAGAGCTTAACCAACAGTTGATCAGAGGTCACTGACATAAGCTACACCAGTGGTAGGCAACCTGCGGCCAATCAGGGTAATCCGCTGGTGGGCCGCCAGACCATTTGTTTACATTTGCACAGCTGCTCGCAGCTCCCGGTGGCCGCGGTTCGCCGTTCTTGGCCAATGGGAGATGCGGGAAGCAACAGGCTGCCCACCACTGCGCTACACTGTTACACTATACATCAACCACGTAGAGAAAGAAATTTTAAAACCATAATTCAGATACTGTGAATAGTTGGAAACCACGGCTCTACTTGGTAGCAAAATCTGTTTTAAAGTAAATCATCCTGAGTTTTGATCACTCTCACTTGAGTTAGGTACCCTAATAATACAGAAGTCAGTAGCTAAGGAACGGAGTTCATACCTTTAACAAGAAGCTACTTTATTGTTATGAGATCAAGTCCAATATGCCTATATGACCAACCTAACTGGGGAAGCAGCTCATTGATTCAGTAGCTTTCATTGTAACACCTTACATCTTTGCCCCCCCCACCCCAAAAAAAATCCTCTCCAGGATTAAATTTGGCATGTACGGTCCCATTCTATCTACAGTATTTACTGATTTTCACAATGAAAAACTGTTCAAAATAAAAGCTATAGATTTCTGTCTTTTGTGTAAGCTCCCACTGGTGTTATGTCATGACTGGCATCTTCTCCACACGTTCAAACCACTCTCCTAGAATTAATTCATTCTCCCTCCTTTCACCCTTCCAAAAAGAAAAACCATTACAGTTAAGTATTTGAAAATGAATTCAGCTTGCTACCAACGAACTTACTTTCATTGTGTGGGGAAAGAAGTTTCTTTAGGGTCAGCATTTCCTCATGTAGCCCATTTAGGATAAATCCCAGGTATTCTTCAGCATCTTCTTGTCTGCCCTGAATACAAGATTAATTTTTTAAATTATTATACCACTGTACGGTGTCTACAATTTTAAGCAGATTCAGAACATTGTCCCCTTAATTTTCAGATACTTTAGTGAAACTGTGAGGTATTTTGTATCAAACAGCACTATCAGTTATGATAAAACTCAGAGCCTAGGAAGAAAAAACTAACTTTAACTGTGAAATATAATTTTTTGTGTGTGAAACAAACACAGGACTGATTTTATGGCTTTTATTTTGTTAAGAAAAATATTAAGAATACTGGCTGCTTTGAAATGCAATTTAGTTTATGTACACTGTTAGATACATGCACTTTAAAGATTTTTAAACAGCACCTTTTCTGACAGGCTTGACTTGATAACCGTCAGCAGCCTATAGATGTATGTTGGTTCAAAGGCAGCTCCAGGCCGGATGTCTCTTGCAATTTTATCACCTAAAGCTGCAAGGCAAACAGAAGTGACATAATATCAAAATAAGCAATATTGAGAAAGCATGAAGTGGAAAGTTAAACTCACTGCTTCACCAAGTAGTTATATGACCAAGCAGCTGAAATAAACCATATTCAAATGACATGTTATGAGCTGTTTGACCAAAAGGAAGACTCTGTCTGTATTAAGATTTAATTTTTTATGATTTCCAGAGAAAGTATTTAAGTGTATTAATGACTAACAAGTTCAATGTCAAAAATGTTTCAAGAACTTATATTTCCCCCCTTTATAAGAACATTCTCTAGCACAAATGCATTAATTTTACTCCACAAAACCTGCCCAAACAAAAAGAACATCTTCATCTTCTAACTTATCAAATGGTGTGTGGTGTTTTATTTATTTATTTTTTTAAACAGACATGTTTTAGTATAGCATTGTAATAGCTACTATCAGCATTAACATAAAGTGTCACCTGCAATCTCTCCCTATTTCATCCAGTTCGGGTATTTTATCTAGCAGTTTAAGAACCGAATCCCACACACCTTTTTTCTGTTTTACACTTGTTACAAAGGCTTCACAGATCTTACATGGCTTTTAGAATCCAGAAATTATTTTTAAATAGTTTTTGACCAACTAAGATTCTCTTAAATTAAGATTAGAATCTCTATGACAGGGGTTGGCAACGTTCGGCACGCGGCTCGCCAGGGTAAGCCCCCTGGCGGGCCGGGCCAGTTTTATTTCCCTGCTGACGCGGCAGGTTCGGCCGATCACGGCCCCCAGTGGCCGCGGTTCGCCATCCCGGG